AGTGGTTTCTACCATTTCTACGGAACGTGGTAGTTTCCAAAGAGTAGACACTTTTAAGGCTAAATAAATGTCAAGTAGGGGAGGGTCCATGACAGATAAATCATGTGTGGTGAGTTATGAGATAAGAGAGGAAGGTAGCACTTGCAAGCGGTTCGAAGGGAATTCCTGCAGTACGTGGTGGGATGATGTTTGGTACGGTACGTGCAGCAAGTTTTAAGATAAGATAAAGGAGCATACTAGATGCTCGAAAGTGAGAAATAAGAAAAGTCTTCTCCTTGACCAGGGTTTGGGTGTTGTTTATACTGGATGGTTGAGCAACGTGATATGCAATGAGCGCGTAGGAATTTACGAAGATCGTGTAAAAACAGTTTACACACAAGTTCTTGTTATGCACTCTGAAGACACCTACAGACTCTCAAACTTTTGGGATAATTGACACAAGAGACTCTTTGGCAGGAGCTTAATGAAAGATCAGCATACTATCAAAATCCCTGCCCCTGCGTAGGGATATTTCAACCAACAGGATCCACCCTACATTGTAGATGCTTCATGCCATTCAGATTGCCTTTTGGTTGCACCTAGCGTGAACGATGAAAAGAGGATGCATGGGACGAGGACTTTGCTAAGAGTCCATAAAGAAGTCTACAGTCATGAGCGAAAAAAAAGAAAAGAGAAGTATCACCAAGGATCACGTGGTAAACTGATAAACATTTGGATGAGAGCAATCTAATCGTCCCACTCAGCTCATGGGCTTTTAATGAAGCATGTAGTAATTAAAGAATATTAATCATGACACCGTTAGCCTGGGGTGGTAAGGGAATACATAAACTTCCTTGGAGAAAGATATTATTAAACTATGTGCCATTGTGTGCAATAAGCTCTTCCGCTATTCATTACCGTGTGCAAAGGCATCATCTCGGATGGCAAACACCAGTGCACGGGCAGGACAGGACGCAAAACCAGGCAGGTCTGAAACTTAACATAGTGACTCGATGTACTTCCTGCACTATTGGGGTTTCCACACTTTTTCATCAGTGTTGAACGACGGAAAAAGAAACGTGGAAGTGGAATATCCTAATTAAACAAAACGCTGTAAACCATAATGTGCAGAGGCCGCGCTGCATGTCATACACAACGAATGCAAAGTATTAAAGATATGCAATCAGTGACTAGCTGATAGCAACCGCAAAGGTATAGGAATACTGAATTTCATCACAGTCAGAATATAATACCACAGATATATAATGTAATCAACTGTACAAGATATAATAATCACGTTACACACTCTCTCTCTCGCTCTCTCTCTCTCTCTCTCTCTCTCTCTCTNACACACACACACACACACACACAAACACAAACTACGGCAGTTTGTAAGTTTTATTCAGCTAATTATCCTGAAAGGGCTCGTTAGACAGATAGTGAATATTTATGTATCTACACTGAATATTAATGGCCGAATATTATATTACCACCAGCGTAGCAATTTGTTCCTATTTGGGGATTGCTGGTGTAATAGAATGCGTGTGGGAAGTTAAAAATAAAACTCTTTTAGGTCCGTTAACACTTTCCGATGATAACATTTGGATGGAGGAAATTGAAATATACAAACGAATTACTTATTATAAACCGTAAGATATGTCCGTAATTAATGCTGTATGTCCCATGATAATAAATTTGTTATTTTTTTAGCACAGAGTTTATAATCAAAGATAATTTTAAAGAGTATGTGATCCAATTATGATGTAAGTGCTTACCGAATGTGAAAGCTCATTGTAAACATTGCCTGGCGCTGCTTAAAGATCACGCTACTTCAAGTTTGATAAAATGTCGGAAATATCAGAAGAAAACATTAAGAAGGCAGAAGAAATTAAAAGCGAAGCCAATGAGTATTTTAAAAGTAAGCCTGGGAAGAACACAACTTAAATTTAAACATTATTTTTGCCTATTGCCAGTGCAAAGTAGTATGTTGTGATGCCATACCAAAGATGTCTTGAAACTCGATGTGATTGATCGGCTGAAGAGATATTAGAATTAAAACCATAAAACAGTTTTTCAGAATAATTTTAATAACGAGAAATTGCCTAATATTAGGCGTTGAATTCACATGCTGTCTGGGAATTTGTAATTTTACAGAAAACCTTCGTATAACCGATCCGATCGCGATGACTTTGGTGTGGATGAATTCTTATTCTACTATCCCAATATATCGAAATTATGAAAGGTACCAGGAAAGTTGTGAGGTAATATATGAATAATATATATAGAATCAGTCTTTATATTGTGTAATGCAGGGTGCTTTGCCTCCTGCAACCCTCCTCCAGGGAGGCATCCACCCTCAACTCTTGCAATGGAAGACAAAGAATCCACTTTGCGTATGTGGAGGATTCTTTGTTTTTTCTGGGTAGGGGTAGGGGTGGCAGCCCCTCCCCCCCCACACACACACACATTTAGAAGTATTATTAGTTTACCCTGCAATTTCTGAGATTCCTTTCATGCCCTCCACTGCTTTTAGGGTCAGGAATGTCGGGATTCAGCAGCATAATTCTTTTATATATACATTCTAGAGGGTGAGAGAAATCCATTGATACGAAAATCATTTGCAGTTATTTCAGAGAAGGTATTGTTTAAAATTACCAGGACTGTTCATGATGTTAGATAGCAAGGAAAAATTTTTGCACTCTGTAATTTGTTGCTTGCAATGAGGATTAAAAAGGACAAGGAATAGGCATTAAGGAGATACTTGCAGTGGCCTTCAAAGTATGACTTTTCTCTCATAATACAATTACTGTATATTATTTAGGTTGGTAGAGGTTGAAGACCACAATGTGCGTAGATAGAGGAAAATGGATACCGCCCTCTTATATAGCGGAAGAAATAGAGTAGGATAGAAGTAATCTTAAGATGCACAGGCCTTATATTTACCGTTAAATGGAAAAAAACGGCAGCGCGCCGCGCAGAGACTAAGTCCAAATCGACCTTCTGCGGCAGAGTCGTTTGTTTATGTCTGCATTTTCTATAAACTCGTTTTCTATACGTGTCTAGTTTTCTGTATTTCCATTTTCTATACCCGCATTTTCTCTAAACGTCATGTTTTCTTTGCACTACTTTCAACCAATGGGGAAGCATTACCGATTACTAATATTTTGATCCATTATTTAATACTATTTCTACTAACATTTCCTCTCTTCCTTTTATGCTTATACATTTCAAGTATTGTTCTTTGTAATGTATATATTTTATGAATTATAATTTCGTTATCATAACGTAGATTTACTGTTAACAATGTAACAACGTTACTGCCTCTTTACCTTAATTGCCTCCCATGTCAAAAAAAAAATGTTCATTACTTGAACACTTTCCGGTAAGCTCTTGACGTGTAAGGACCTAGCAGTTTTTGTGTGCGGTGTGACATGTGGTAAGTTATAGATATTTGTTTCAATGTTTGTTTTATATTTATAGGTGTTTTAAAGACAATTGAAAAAATAGTGTATCTTTTATCATAGTGGATAAATAGTGTTATTCAAACATTTTTTACGGTAGGTACTGACAATTCGTGGAGGAATATGCCGGTCCCATGCCCTCATATCGGTAGCCCTTAAATGCCCCAAATGCAACGACGGCTGACGATTTTATAATATATATTCATGTAGATGTGACAACCCCCCCCCAAAAATGATAATAGAAAAGTTAGATGCAATTTCACTTCGCCGGGTACTTTGCCAAACACATATTAAAAATGTTGTATCCGGCGGAGAATAAAAAATTTCATTAGTTCCTCCACACTGCATCTCGTCTGTAGAGTGATGGTATGAGTTGTATATTGTTTAATAATTCTTAAAATAAATTGACATCGTGCGAATAAGCGGAGGGGTGGGAATTAGATATTTTGTGTTCGTTATTTGGTTAGCATGATAAAATTTATATTTGTGAAAAATTTGTGTATCGGATATCGGGTTTGTACGCATTGCGAGTTGCGCTTGTTTACTCGAGCGATGTTTCATTCGGTGTCCATCGAACAAAGTTTAGCTCGTGTTTTTTATTATACGGCCTTTCTATTGTTGCCATGACATAAATTTAGGCTCGTCTTTCATATAATTAGAATTTTTATAGATGTTTAAGTGGTATTTATTTTTTGACATTTACAGTTGCTATTGACATCGTGTATCCCCCCCCAACGGAGCTTTGTGAACTCGATTTCTCCCCCTCACCCCCCCCCTCACCCCTAAGAAATTAGGCACAGCAAGGACCCCCTCCCCCTCTTTGGAGAGGAGGAGGGGGTTCCCCCCCTTTGGAGGGGGAGGGGTACCCCCCACGTTTGGAACTTAGTCTCTGCGAGGGTGCGTCATGGTCTTCAACATTTACCTATAGGTTAAACAGAAATGCTGTGATCTTTAATTGGAGGGCATACAATTCATGCCCAGCCTGAGGTAGTTCTTACTGAAAGATGTGTATCACCAGTCATGACAAATTTAATATCAGTAGGTTTTGAGTGATATTTATCATTCAGATGCATTTGTTGTATTTTCTGGAAAATTGCTGCTCAAGGGGGTTGTCGCGACGAAAATTTTCAAAAATATTTGAAAAATTAAAAAAAAAAATTCCTGTAATCTAATGGGCTTTGGCAACCTCTTGATTTAATATTTTTGCTAAATATGTAAAATTGAAGAAGTTATAACTAAATCTCTGACCGCCCCCGCCTCCTGCTCCGATATTACATTGTCGCGTCCGTGAAAATATATTCAACAAAGTTTTTTTCATTTTTTTTTTTTTTATATTTTGGCATTCTGTGATAGCTAGCTGGCAACTCTGTTTACCCATTAGCTGATCGTCAAGACTGGTACTCTGGGAGACAAAACACCACCAGAAAATCAGAGAGAAAGGTTGCCATCTCCTACCTCCATGACACCATATCACGGAGTAGGCTCATATAACACAGTAAGGGGACAATACTAATTGTAGATGTTATTTTAGTATTTAATAACCATAATATGATCAGAAATAAGTGCGATTTTAAAGAGTTTGTGATTGTTCAAAAACTTGTTTTTCATAAATGATTTTATTATTTATTATCCAAATGATATAAAACTTAGTGGTGTTTATCACTTTATATGTATGTATAATATATTAAAAAATCACGAATATCTGATCATAACTGACGAACTTCATTCTCGAGCGTCCCTTAAGGGAATCATCTGGTCATTTATTGGCCATTTTTTGCCCTTCTTACCGAAATTGAGTTTTATGCATTTTTAAGGAGTTTCAGGGCCTCCAATTCTCCCCTGAAAATTTCAAGGCCCAACTGTTTTTTTTTAGGTGGTAGCAGCCCTTTTCGACATTGACCAAAATATACATATTTTTTCACAATGCCTTAGAATATCGGCAATTGTGATGCAGTGATAAGAGATAATAAAAAAATGAAATCATTTTCTTAAAGCTTATCAAAGTTTACATAAGATGAGACCAACCTTCATTTTTTCGGAATAATGTTTAAAATTTGGCAAACAGTAACTAAAAAATTTTAATACAAGAAATTTTTCATACATGAGGCAAGCCGGCCTCACGTGTTTTGGAGAGTTGCAGTGCGTGAGTATGTCATGATGACTAAAGCCATACCTGACACGAAGCCCAAATATTCCATGATAGTTTTAGCCATTCCCAGCACTGTCAGGTTAATGCCTTGCTGCTAATTACTGCCCATGCTGTTGCCATGATTGTTTATTATAGTATCAGCAAAGCAAAGTAAAGATGATCAAAAGGAATATTATCTAGCATTTACCACTTCCTTTGTGCTTTATTCTCTGGCAAAGCTCAACAAACCTCTTTCCTGGTATCTTATATATATTATTGCAAGACCAAGCTTCTTGGTTTTGCATATTCTATGCCAGAACATGTATGGTGAAGATATACTAGCTTTTTGCATTTTCTTTGTGTGTGTGTGTGTGTGTGTGTGTGTG